TTCTATTCTATTCTATTCTATTCTATTCTATTCTATTCTATTCTATTCTATTCTATTCTATTCTATTCTATTCTATTCTCTGACCAAGCAGGAGCCCAAGACTCAGCCTTTTCCCACGAGGTTCTCCCAGGACTCGGGAGTAAACCTCCCCAAGTGGAACAGGGTTCATTTCTGGAGAAAGGGATGTGGGTTAAAGGATGAAGAATGAAAGTGAAGCCACCAAATGCAGTCCAAATCTTTTGTGCTTCTCCAAGGCCCACTTCTGACTTCCTCTTGCAGATGTTCTCCCCTCCTCCTCTTTCTACCCCTCCTCCTCCCCCTCCTGGTACTTGGTACCACCCTGCTTGCCTCTTTCTTGTCCCCATGGCGATGAGAGGCAGCCCCAACAAGGGATGCCCAGGGTTGCCATGGTGACGCCTGGGCTTCAGGGGAGAAGAAACCCCCCCCCCAGTTTCTTCCCAGCATTTGCCCTCTTTTATAGGGGATGAGGCAATGTGAATTGCAGCCGTCAAAAAAGACCCAGACACTCATGAAAATGATTGTACCGCTTTCTACTGATAGTCCTTGACTTACAACCCCAAGGGAGCCCAACAATTCTGTTCTTAAGCAAGACGTTTGTTAAGTGAGTTTGCCCCCCCCTTTCTTACCACAGTTGCTAAGAGAATCGCTGCAGTTCTTAAGTTAGTAACCCCGGTTGGTAAGTGAACCTGGCTTCCCCATCGACTGGGTTCATCAAGAGGGTCGCAAAAGCGGATCGCGTGATCCCGGGACACTGCGACCGTCATAAATATGAGTCAGTTGCCCAGCGCCTGAATTTTGATCCCGAGACATTGGGGATGCTACAAGGGTCACAAGTGTGGAAAACGGTTGTAAGGCCATTTTTCCAAGGCCATTGTAACTTCAAACGGTCAGTAAATGAACGTTGTAAGGCGAGGACCACCTGTATTAAATTTATACGCTGCCCGTCTTGCTATCCAAAGCCGTTCGTCGTCGCTTGCCTTTCCAGGACAAAACCCCTTCCAGGGAAAAGGGACCCAGCTGACCTCAACCCCTTCCAAGGCTGCCGAATGCTTAAATAGAATAACAGAGTTGGAATGGAAGGGACCTCAGAGGTCCTCTAGTCCAACCCCCTGCTCAGGCAGGAAAACCTATACCTTTTCAGACAAATTTTGATCACATGATTATGGGGATGCTGCACACCAGCCAGCCAGCATCAGCAGAAGGAAGCTTAGCCCCTCTTCCGTGGTTTCTCCAATCAATCAATCAATCAATCAATCAATCAATCAATCAATCAGAACAGAGCTGGACGGGACCTTGGAGGTCTTCTAGTCCAACCCCCTGCTCAAGCAGGAGTCCTTGACCTGTCCAGCTTCTTCTTAAAAGCCTCCTGGGATGGAGCACCCACAACTTCTGAGGGTCTTGCATAACGCCCTGTTTCTCCCAGGGGTCCCTGAAGGCATTCCTGCTGTCCAGTTGTACCGAGGTGTTACTCCTGCTGCAGTTAGCTTGGCGGTCCTAAAAGCAAAGTGTAGCAAACACGGTGGGGAGAAAGAAGGAAACATTTATCCAACCGATGGAAAACAAAACAAAACAAAAAAAACACAAAAAAGAAACATGCTCCAAGTGGATGTGAATTTTGTTTGATTACGGGAAGAAATTCTACTGCTCTTTTTTTAAATGCATCTCTCTCTCTCTCTCTCTCTCTCTCTCTCTCTCTCTCTCTCTCTCTCTCTCTCACACACACACACACACACACACACACACACACACACACGCACAGAGAGAGAGGTAGAGAGGTTTTATTCTTTTTCAGCTCCTAGCACTTGGAAATAGCAAAAGGTAAAACTTGCAGCTCAATGCAAAGGCATTATTATCATTTTCCCTTCCTAGGAGAATTCTTGTGTTCAATGACTTATGTGCAAAAGGAACAATTGGGGGGGGGGAAAAACCAATAGGGGGGGGGGACCCACTCCTTCATGGTTTAATGATCTCCACATTCAACCAATACCCAACGAATGAAACCAGTCTTCCCCAACTTTAGCCACGTGAAGCTGTGAACCCCTCGGTTCCATGGGTCTGCAGGCATCCCTCACGCATGCTGAGCTGGAGCCCAAATTTGGGGTCCTCTGGGTGGGGTGCAAGGCAGACCCCGCCCCTCCTTCCCGGCTGCTGGCTCCCACTGCCCCTTTCCCTGCTGCAGCCTGGCCCCACCTGGAAAATGGTGGGGTGTGGGGGCTTCAGGAGGTCCAGCATTAAGCCCTCCTCTCCCCCCAGCAAGTTTGAGTCAAGCTGCTTTGGAATAACGGACCCCTTGGGGGTTGTGAGAAAGTCCCCCCCCCCTCACGATGAATCTCCTGTTACCAATAGAGTATTCGTAGCTCAGGGTTGAAATGAGGGGTCCTGGGGCGCTCTGAGAAGACCCCCTAACCTCTTGTTTGGGGATGAACCGAGTGGGATGGGGGGGGAGGGCAGGATGGTGCCAATATTTCCCCTTCTCTGTGAAGCTGTTAGGCCCCTTGGAAGAGAGTTTCTCCCTCAACCCCCTCCCCTTTTCCAGCAGGAGGGTCGTCTGCATGAAAGATACAAACTTCCAGTTTGACCCAGGACTTTTTGCTGTCTGAAAGAGGAGAGGGAGGCAGAAATCTTGCTGGCAGGGAAGGAGGGGCAGTTTTCTGCAAGGAGGAGTTGGAAACATAGCCTGAAGCTGCAACCCAGCCATGCAAACTCAGGAATGGCCTGGCTGGGGGGTTATCAAAGGTCCGTGCATCCAACAAGGGGAGGGGGAAGCAGGAAAATCCAGGAGGAGCATTTAAATGCAGCCCCTCCCCCAGTTCTCTGCAGAAACAACAGTCTTCCTTCAACTGGGGTCACCTGCAACGGTGATGGACTGCGACACCCATGCTCCACGCCAGACCTGGAGGTACCTCTGGGTTGAGCTGGAAGAGTGAGCAAAAGGTTGAGCAGGGGCAACCCAAGGTGGACCATAGGAAGTGGAAGCTGGTGGTTCTGGAGAAGATCAGTGTGGTGGGAATGTTCTAATTCAGAGTTGTTCAACTTTGGCTACTTAAAGATGTGTGGACTTCAACTCCCAGAATTCCCCAGCCATCCAATGAAGTCCACCCATCTTCAACTGGCCAAGGTCGAAAAACACTCTTCTAACTGGAACTTCTGCCCAACCCATCATCTTCCAGGGTTGTTTGTCTACAACACCCATAATTCCCACGAGGCCGGGATAGGCTAAGTAAGGCTGTTCTACTCAACCGCCAAATTGCTTTTCCTAATCATCCAAGACCAAAGCATGCTGGCTGGGGAATTCTGGGACTTGAAGTCCGCCCATCTTAACGTGATCTAACTGCCCGAATTCAATTAGTGTTTTTCAGCTGATCACTGATTTAGAGACATGTTAAACAGTATTCTAGGAGCTACAATCATAACACATCTAGAAGCACCAGTTGGTGGGGGGCTGAAGAGGTCTTCCCCTCCCTATTTTATATTTTCTGTTTCCTAGATGCCCCAACCCCTCCCCGGGGGGGGGGTTCAATGGTTATTGGAGAATTGTGGCTATTTAAGCAAACTGCCTGGTGTTTGGGGGCCAAAGGCTGTTTCCTAATTTGGTCCAAATGCCCAATTGACTCTTTAATCATTTTTGTTTCTCACGGATTGCAAACTGTCAGAAAAGTGCATTTGGGTGTGCAGGGTGCGTGATAGGAACGAATCAAGTTTCTAGCCCCTGGGAATGCTCGGGTGATAATGTTTGTAGAAACCGCTCCAGGAGGATAGGTCTGGTTGCCTCTGGCAGTAAAAATCCAGAACGTTTTGTGACACTTCCAAACTTTTAAAATAAGCATGGCTGCCTGTTGTGTTTCATTTTAAGCTGCTTGTAAATCCATTCTTCTTCATGCAGACAAGGCAAATCTAATAACAGCCACGGGTGGCAACCCTCTGCGTGCTATCTTAAGTTATAGAAAACCATCCCACAATAAACGCGTGCAAGCTAAAACAGAATGATGGTTGTGCAAGTATCAAGAGCCCAAAAAGAGAATCCAGATTTTTTTCCAGAGAGTTTTCACTGCTGGGAGTGAAGACTTGATCCTCCCAAACATTAAAAAGCTATGCGGATTGCAGAAATAAATGTTGATTTTCAACTTTTGCACAGAAGAGAGAATCACTTTCAGTTTGTGAGCTTTTACGTCATTCCCTCTAACTGCTGCATCAAAATACTGCAAGAACCGCACCTTAAGACACAACTACACAACTTGAACAAAGAGAAACCTGCTTAGTTCCAAATCAACATTAAATCTGGAGGGGAGATTTAAGTATCGCCTGACTTTTCTGCAGAGAACCCGGGAAAATTCAAGGCAGGGATTAAAAGCACAGAAAGTGAAGCAGTGATTTGATGCAATCGTGAACAAAGACTGTTTATTAAACGTCAACATGTTACTAGTTTTTTAAAAAAATAATCATAATAAACTTACATATTGCAAACCCAGATATAAATACTGCTCAAAGTATCTCAACTGGTCTAACATGGGCCAGTAAGGAACATTTTTCAAGAAAAGGAAAGAAATCCACCACCCATTTCCCTTTTTATCATGGTTAATTTAAGGCAAACGGCAACTTTCTTCGCGCATAATTCAGGACAATCACAAACAAACAAAAAAAGGACTTCTGAACTTACAGGTTTAATTTTGGAAAACAGAGTCCTGCTTGTGTCTATCCAAAACTGAATTCTGGGGCAGTTGAAATACACAAATCTTCCTCTTTTTTTTTTAAAAAAAGTTGTCACCTCTTTTGCAACTATGATTTTTGAAGAACTGCAAATGGGGAAAACTCAGTTTACTGCCTGGTATATTTCTTTCCTTCCAAATCTTAGGTGGTGCCTTTCCTTCTTGCCATCCACTCTCCCGGCGTTTAACTTTTATTTTTTTTTTCTCTCTATCTCTCTTCCGCTTTTCCATGATACGGATCGGGGAGGGGGGGCTCCCCTTGCGGGTGTCACTTTATCTCTTGATCAGGCGTCCGGCCGAGTTGCGCCCGCTTCTGCGGTACAAGGATTGCTTCGCCTTATTGTGGGGGCAGTATTTCAGGGTGTGGGCCTTGTCGGCGGTGGCCCCACAAAGCGGGCAGGTGTAATTGCGTAGAATGGGGCAGACCACCACACCATCGGCTCTCTTCAAGGTGTGAGAAGAATAGACCTTCTTGGACTCTCCGTTGTGCTTGCAAAAGTTGCAAATCCCTTGCTGGGTCGGTTGAACGGGCTGGGGGTCTCTTTTGCGGGGGCCCTTCTTGGAACTGGGGGTCCTGCTGTTGTCACTGCCGTTCGCCTGGTGCAGAACGATGACTTTCAAGGGGTCTTTCCAAGGAGAAGGAGGAGAAGGCTTCTTCCGTTCCTCCACAATCTCCATCACAACTTTGGAAAGATTCAAATAATCCTTCCACTGGTCAAAAAAGCGCCCTTGGGCCACAGCGGGAACACCCTCTGGAGAAGACTGGGATGAAGTGGAGAGCATGGTGACCAGTGGAATCAGTCCCAGCCAGGCACACCTCTCTGAATGAGCACGGGACACACACTCACACAAACACAGAAAGACATTAAACTGCAATTTAAACAATGTTAATAACTGTACTGAAGAGGTGGAGTCTGAAATTTAAATGGCCTGGGAAAAAACAACTCTTTTTTCCTGAAATGTCTCCATCTGGATCTTCCCTCTTTTTATCTTTCTGGAATTGAACCTGACCACATGGAAACATCGAAAGGTCTTCTGCAAAGATCCCTTGGCCTGCCAAGGAAAAAGTTCATCCCTTTTCCTTCTCTCCCCCCCCCCTTTTTTTTTTTTTTTTGGATTGCAATGTGAGCTTCGGCATTGGCCGACCCTGGGCACAAAAGCTGCAAATCGCCCTTGGCTCCAATTTAAAATTCGGCTTCATTTCTGATTTAGGTAATGCACCAAGGATGGTGTGGCAGAGAACCCTCTGCCAACTGTGGCTGGAAATTGATGAGGCTTCCCCTGTCAAGTTTCATAAAGCAAAAAAGGGGGTCACTGATTCACTGATATTTTTCTTTTAAGAAGAATTGCTGGCTAGCAGGGCACCCATGATGCTAACTGGCTGGGTCATGTCCGCAAGAAAACCACCAAGCTCAGAGAGCACCAAGGACCCCGCAGTCCTCCTCCTCCTTCTCATCTCTGCAAACCCCACTTTCTTCTAGCACCATGACATTATCTAATTGGGTCGTGAAACATCTGCAAGAAAACCACCAAGCTCAGAGAGCACCAAAGACCTCACGGTTCTTCTCTTCTTCTCTACTACATGAACCCAACATAGTGCTGATGATGTTCCCTAGTTGGGGAGTGAAACGTCTGCAAGAAAACCACCAAGCTCAGAGAGCACCAAGGACTCCACAGTCCTCCTCCTCCTCCTCCTCCTCCTCCTCCTCCTTCTCTCTGCAAACCCCACTTTCTTCTAGCACCATGACATTATCTAATTGGGTAGTGAAACGTCTGCAAGAAAACCACCAAGCTCAGAGAGCACCAAAGACCTCATGGTTCTTCTCTTCGTCTCTACTACGTGAACCCAACATAGTGCTGATGATGTTTCCTAGTTGGGTCATGAAACGTCTGCAAGAAAACCACCAAGCTCAGAGAGCACCAAGGACTCCACAGTCCTCCTCCTCCTCCTCCTCCTCCTCCTCCTCCTCTCTGCAAACCCCACTTTCTTCTAGCACCATGACATTATCTAATTGGGTAGTGAAACGTCTGCAAGAAAACCACCAAGCTCAGAGAGCACCAAAGACCTCATGGTTCTTCTCTTCGTCTCTACTACGTGAACCCAACATAGTGCTGATGATGTTCCCTAGTTGGGTCATGAAACGTCTGCAAGAAAACCACCAAGCTCAGAGAGCACCAAAGACCTCACGGTTCTTCTCTTCTTCTCTACTCCATGAACCCAACTGCCTTATAGGGCTGATGATGCTATCTAGTTGGGGAGTGAAACGTCTGCACGAAAACCACCAAGCTCAGAGAGCACCAAGGACCCCACAGTCCTCCTCCTCCTGCACCTCCTCCCCTACTTTTCCTTCTCCTCCACTCCACAACCCCCCCTTCCTTCTAGCACTGAAGATGTTACTTAGTTGGATCATGAAACATCTGCAAGAAAACAACAACCAAGCTCAGATTGCATCAAGGACCCTGTCAAGACCTCATAAGAGGCCAGAGGCCACTATCTGCCACACCTACACTTGTATTTAGGAAAGCACATGGCTGACATAGATGCACCTACCATGTTCAAAAGCCATGCTTTTTTTTAAGCTGGCTTATCGTGATCAGGACATTACGATGGTGCACCAGTCAACCACAAAAGATGGATGAAACACAGATCAGTGGGCCTTAAAGGCTCTGGAAAAAGATTCCTGGATGGATGCCTGTTCCTGAAGGTCACAAGCAAAAAATTGTAAAGGCCTCTCTGGAGGTGAGTCCATAAAAAGGCAGTCCTTAGAATACCACAGTCCAATTGATATCTAAGTCTGAGATACACATGGAAACAGGTAAAGAACCTGCTCGAGGTGAACCTCTAGCAAAAAGTCCAAATTGCCCTTTGAACTACATCCAGGGAACAAGCTAGAAGCTGCCAGAGGTGGTAGAACTTCAGGGAGATGTGCAGACCTTACCATGAAAGCATCTTGCAGTTCTGGGATGAACGGGTGGACGTTTTCCCCATCCAAGGCCTCCACCTTGTGCTTGGCAGGTCGAAGCTGCCTAGAGAGGTACATCTGCCAGAAGGCTAACCTGTTCTTGTCCAGGTATGGGCACAGGGGGCTTCTGAGTTGAAGCTGATCAAAGCCACTCCACGCCAGAGAGCTTGGCGGAGCGTCAAGAGAGAAGGAAAGTCCTCTTCTGAATGTCCACAAGAATACGTATGCTGTGGCTAGGCCCCTTGTTCTGATCCATCACCAGCACTCATCTTTGTTCCCACGAGGGAGAAAGGAACGGGACACAGAGCACAAGCTTGTGATGTCCCATTGCTAAATCTCAATTGATCAACTGTCTCTGAGTCCACTCTGAAGCCTAAGTAGAGTTCCTGGACAAGCAAGAAGGTGCCACTTGGAATGGTGAAATTCTGGAAGTCCACACATTTGCAAGTTGCCAAGGTTGGAAAATGCTATAATAGTCCATCATACTATACTTTATTGATCTTAGCTCTTGGACACTGTTTCACACTCTCTTTAACCAATCGTGAGTTAACTAAGGCAAGAAAGCAGTTTTGCTTTCGGTTTCTGCAACACGCACCCTTTGCGTGCGTTACAGCCGTCCGCAAGCGGGTCTCGAACCCGCCAAGTCTCTGTCGGAAACGCCGCATTTTTAGTGCGGGTCGCTGCGCTTCGCCCCGAACAGCCGCTAGGCGTCGCGAAAGCGGCATATTGTTTTCAATCCTTTCTCCGCTCCTGCTGCAGGAATGCCGACCCCCCCAAGATTGACAAGCTGAGTCTCCAATAGGCGCGCAAAAGGGCGGGTTCTGGGCGGGGTTCTATGCGTTCTCAAGGGGCGAATCAGGGACGAGCTGCCGCCCCCCGCGTTGCCGATAGGGCGGCTCTTCAAGAAACGAACCGAGCGAAGGGGGCAGGCCCTGTTCTTTTGAATGACGGGCGGCGAGGCATCCCACGAACGGGGGAGGATGATTGACGTTGCCCGGAGCCAATGACGGCGCGCGGTCGGTTGACTCAGACACCAATGGCGGGGCGAGGGCGGAGCCTCTCCTCAGAGGCGGCAGTTGAGGTGGGGCGGCGCGCAGGTAAGTTGTTTTTGGGGGGGCTCGTCGTGCACCCCCCCTGCACCCCCCTCCTTCCTCGGGCTCCCCCCCCCGTTTTCCTTTCTCCGTTCCCTTCAATCTTGCCCGGCCGGGCGCTCGCGGGGTGTTGTGGACTACACACCCCATCCTCCCCAGCCAGCCTCTTGTGCTGGGCCGGCGCGGGGGGGGGGCGGTTTGTTTGGGACCCTCGCCGAAGACGCCAGGCTGTCCCGGAAGGCGCCTCCCGTCGAGCGCTTGTGGCTGGGGAGGATGGGAAGAGTAGTCCGACCCACACCCAAGTCTTCCTTGGGGTCCGGCTGCCCGGGTATCTGGACGTCAGATGGCCCTTGCTGAAGGCGTGTGTGTGGGGGGGGGGGATGATGGGAACTGATGGCTGACCCAGGTGGGACTCAGGCTGTGTGGAATGATGGGCTATGTAGTCCAGCTGCCCAGCCAGCCAGTCTGCATTTGCCTGCTTTCTCATTGCCCCCCATCCCTAAGCTAGCACCCCCTTACTGAAATCCCTTACACACACACACACACACACACAGGTTAAAGGTAGAGCTTCTTGGATGAATCCAACATTTGGGTTCACACAACAGGGTTAACCAGGTTACTGAACTGACCCACTTTCTTGGTTTGCCCAGGGATATTGAAACCCACGTAGTGGGTGAAGGTTTGGCTGGTGGAGACGGATGGAGGCTGGATTGGGGCTTGTGCGACCACCCACAAAACCACACAGTCGGCTAAAATGAGTGCCGTTTGGCAGGTTGTGCGAATGTCACACCTGGGTCATTTATTGAGGCCGATCGGTTGGCTGTTCTCAAACAGCCTGGCCCAGTTGCCGCCTAACTAGCACTAAGCAACCTGATCCAGTAGCAGCTCTCTAGATCCTGCAGGTGGATCCCAGGAATCCTTGGCTCTTGGGATCCCGCTCGGCCCTTCCCTTTGTGCCAGGGGGCATCTCTTCCAATGCTCCCTTCCACTCACTGGCTCTCCCTCCTTCAACCAAAATCGAGAAAAAGCTTTTGCTGCAGCCGCAAAGCCAAGCTGCGTTTCGGGATGAAATCCCAGTGGCTGCCCACATTTGCCCCCTGGCCGAAAGGTTCAGTGGGTCTCCTCATGCAGGAATCCTGTGCCTGGCCTAAGATCAATCAGAACAGAGCTGGAAGGAGCCTTGGAGGTCATCTAGTCCAACCCCCTGCTCAAATGGCAGTCCAGTCCAACCCCCTGCTCAGACAAATGGCAGTCCAGTCTCTTCTTAAAAACCTCAGTGATGAAGCACCCACAACTTCTGGAGGCAAGTAGTTCCACTGGTTAATTTTCACTGTTAGGAAATTTCTCCTTAGTTCTAAGTTGCTTCTCTCTTTCATGATCTTCCACCAGTTACTTCTTGTCCTGCCCTCAAGTGTTTTGGAGAATAGAATCCTAGGATTATACAGTTGGAAGGGACCTTGGAGGTCTTCTAGTCCAGCCCCCTGCTCAAGCAGGAGAGCCTATCTCATTTCAGACAAATCGTTGTCCAATCTTCAAAACCTTCTGGAGGCAAGATGGAGACCCCGTGACACATGTCAGAAGGTTCTTGTCCAGTTTTGCCTGTCAGTAAAAGCGTCTCCCCTCTCCTGTCCCAAGCCAGGCGACGAGCTCGTTTTGAGAAGTGGCGGTGAGTCTTCGGTCCCGCCATGGCCAAGCGGAGCGACTACGGGCTGCAAGTCGACTACGTTTTCCGGGGAGCCGAGCACGTCGTTCGGATGACGACGGAAGGGAACCTGCTAGAAGTGGAGGTGGAGGACCGGCTCACCACCGACCAGTGGCGAGGGGAGTTTGACGCTCCTTGTGAGTCTCGGGGGGGCACCAGGTGTGAAGGTTGGGGGACAGTGGGGTGACGGTGGGAAAGAGCCTTTGGGAGGAAGCCCCCCCCAAAGTCCTTTTGCGGAGGTAAATCTGCCTGGTCATTTGGAGCACGATGGTCAAGAAAGACCCTTACCCTCCTAAGCCCTTCGGAAGTTAAGAAAAACTACCGCTGCTGTCCTCAATTTAGGACCACAGTTGGGCCCAAACTTTTCGTGGTTAAGGCCGCTGTTAAGGGAGTTTTGCCCCATTTTGCAGTCTTTTTTTGCCACAATTGTTAAGCGATTCGGTGCAGTCATTAAGTAAATCAGGCGGTCATTAAGCAAATCTTTGCTTATAAAACGGTTGCAAAAGGGGATCGTGCAACCCCCCCCCGGAACGCTCATCATAAATATGAGTCAGCTGCCAAGCATCTGAATTTTGATCACGTGACCCTGGGGAGGCTAACAACGGTCGTAAGTGGGGGGAAAGGGTCCCAGATCCCTTTTTTTCATTGCCGTTGTAACTGAACAGTCGCTAAATGAACTGTTGTAAATCAAGAAGCACCTGTAACCCTCCCCTCCGGGGTCTTTCTGACCTGGGGGTGGCAGGCCCGTCCGGCCAGGACCCCGGAGTCGGCAGAGCAGGTAGGACTGCCAGCCTCCCCTTCGTGAAAGGCAGCCATCTCTGCAGAAACTCAGTTTTCTCGTCTCCCCTCCTCCCCTCCCGCAGTTATCGAAGACCTCACCCACAAGACGGGGAACTTCAAGCAATTTGGGATCTTCTGCAGCATGCTGGAGTCGGCTCTGGCCCAGGTGAGGCACGGATCGGCTTCCGGGGTGTGTGTGTGTGTGTGTTGCCACCATCGTTTGTGCCTAAACTCAGACTCTGGCTTGGCACGGAAATTGATCCAAGGCTGGGACTGGCCAGTCCTCGGTCTGGTTTCTTACACAGGTATAGCTAGTCCTCGCTGTATGACTGCGACTGAGCCCAGAACCTCTGTGGCTAAGTGGGACATTTGGGAAGTGAATTTTGGCCCATTTTATGACTTTTTGGGCCGCGGTTGTTAAGCGAATCCCTGAAGTTGTTAAGTGAGTCATATGGTCGTTAAGCGAATCCAGCTTCCCCCGTTGACTTTGCTTGTCGGAAGGTCACCAAAGGGGACCACGTGACCCCCGGGACGCTGTGACCGTCATAACTATGAGTCAGTTGCTGAGTGTCCGAATTTTGATCAGGTGACCGCAGGGAGGCTGCGACGGTTGTAAGTCTGAAAAATGATCAGAAGTCACTTTTTTCAGTGCTGTAACTTCAAATGGTCACTAAATGAACTGTTGTAAATCGAGGACAATCTCTACTGATTTAGTAACAAATGAAGAAGGGTCTTTGAGACTTTCTGAATTTGCGTGATTTTTTTGCAAACGTTTCATGACCCAAACTAGGTAACAACATCAATGTTACTGCTAGCACTGACGACATTACCTAGTTGGGTCATGAAACGTCTGCAAGGAAACCACTGAGCTCAGAGAGCACCAAGGACCCCAGAGTCGTCGTCTCCTCCTCCTCCTCCTCATAAACCCACTCTCTTGTAGCACTGATAATTCTACCTAGTTAGGTAGTGAAACATCTGCAAGAAAAGAATCAAACTCAGAGAGCGCATGAAGGACCCACAGTCCTCCTCCTCCTCCCCTTCCCAACCCCCCCTTTCTAGCACTGAAGATGTTACCTAGCTGGGTCATGAAACGTCTGCAAGGAAACCACCCAGCTCAGAGAGCACCAAGGACACCTCATTTCAACCCTGAGCTGCAAAGATTCCTTTCCATGAGTTAGTCACGAGTCTTTGTCGTCCAAAAGCTGTTTGTGTGAACAACTCTGGGTACAATCTGGGGGTGTGTCTTTTTTTTTTTGCCCCCTTAAACAGAGCAGCGAGTCTGTAACGCTGGATCTCCTCACCTACGCGGACCTGGAGGCGCTGCGGAACAGGAAGATCGGTGTGGGACCCCGGCACCCCTCGGCCTCCAAAGCCTCCCCCTTGAACGCCAAGCGTTACCTCATCCTGATTTACTCGGTGGAATTTGACAGGCAGGTTTGGGGGGCGACCCAGAATTGGGGCCAAAATCTTGACTAATCGGTATTTTAAGGCTCCTCTGTGTTGCTGGTTTAGGTATTCAGGGGTGAGGGATGGAAAATTTGGGGGACACTCAAGTCAATATTCAGGGGAACCCCTCTGGCCACTTGTGGCTTCGCTGCTAAAGAGGCCAGGAGTGGGTAACTACAGGTAATCCTTGATTTACGACCACAGTTGAGCCCAAAAATTGGGTCGTTAAGTCAGGGGACTGACCTGTATGACAACGTGACGCCCTGTGGACTTCAACTCCCAGAATTCCTGAGCCAGCCATGCTGGCTGACTCAGGAATTCTGGGAGTTGAAGTCCACAGGGCGTCAAGTTGCCATAGCGGCCCATAAGATACGGTCAGAAATTCAAGATGGCAGCTGGATTTTGGATCCCCCGTGGGCTGTTGAGGAGCTGATGAGCCGTTTCAACTCCATTTTTGTTCCCGTCTTGCGTAATTTCTGACTTGCGGCCTGCTTGTCTTGATTCCCGGCAGGATCCATTACCCGCTACCCCTGCCCTACGTCGGAAAGCCGGATCCGGTCATTCTACAGAAAGAAATTCAGGAACTTAAGGAGGAATTGGCTATGTTGAAGGCTAAGCCAGGCAAGGACTTCCGGGACGTGGAGATCCGTCGTCTTCGGGAGGAGTGAGTGAGAGCAAAAAAGGGGGGCGGGGGGGCAGGATTTGGGTCCGGAGATGGGGCAGGGATCCGGGAACTGTCCTCGGAATACGTGGAGGGTTAGAGGCCTGAGCATTTAAGAGCCAGGGGTTAAATTGCTGAGAGCAATGAAATTCAATTAAAACTTGGACAGGAAGTCCTTCACTTAACAACCAGAACTGAACCTAAAATTTCCCAGATTCACTTAACAGCCGTGTTGTTACCGACTTAACAACGGCAGCAATTTGCTCCAAGGTCGTAAAACGGGGCAAAATCCACTTCACAAACGTCTCGCTCAAAATGTGGGGCTCCGTTGTGGCCGTAAGCGGAGGGCTGCCTGTATTTGCGCAAAAGCTTCCCTTTGGCGGCGGATTGCTGGAGTTGGGGGGGGTCTTGCAAGCTGGCCTCTCTCACCCCCCTGCCCCCTCCCCCCCGCCCTGCAGGCTGCAGCACGCGCTGGAGGAGAAGCAGCTGATGGAGTCGGTGCTGCTGAACTGCCGAGAGGATCTCCAGCTGGTGACCAGCAAGGGCAGCGGCTTCAAGGAGGTGAAGATCCTGAAGAAGGTGGTGCAGACACTGGAGGAGCAGCTGACCAAGGAGCGGGCGAAGCACCAGCGCCTGGCCGCCCGGCGCCTGCAGGAGAGCCGCCAGCTGGCGGACGAGGTAGGCAGAAGGCCTGGGAGCCCCTAGCAAGCGCCAGTGTCCCTCAGCCGGCAGGACGGGAAGAATAGTGGCAAGACATCAAAACTCAGTGACCATTCAAAGTGGCGAGAGACCCCTTGGGGAAAAAAAGCTACTTATCACCAGGTATTGGAGGTTCTGAGGATTGTGTATTTTCACCACTCAGGTTGCGGTGGGAATGTGATCTAGTGCAGGGGTCCCCAACCCCTGGTCCGTGGACCAGTACTGGGCCGTGGCATGCCAGCAATCGGTCTGCATAAACAAGCAAAGCCCACAAAACCTCTCTCCACGGAACCAGTGATCCCTGGTGCCTCATCCACAGGCAGAGTTGGGGGCCTGCAGAGGGCACAGAGTGACCCCCAAGATGAGAGGCGAGCCCCAAATCTCGGAGGGGGCTACAAATGTATTGGAAGGGGAAAAAACCCTATTTTTAGCAGCGCCTGGCTTCAGCAGCCTGTAGAATTGATTGTTGTTTGTGTTGTATTCCACACAACTCTGCCTTGGCTCCCTCTTTCTGATCCCGACAGCTTGCAGAAGTGAAGGCGACCGAGAGAAGCCTCCGGATCCGGGTGAAGAACCTAACCAACGAGCTGGCTATGTACAAAAAGGGGTAGGTGCCCTCAGCCAATCCCACGCGGGTGGTCCTCGCTTAACAACCGATCAAAGTTAGCCATGGACTCAAAAAAAAAAGTCACTTGCAACTCTTCCTCAGAGCTATAACTGCCCCATCCAGCCATTTCTCTCCCCCCCCCCCCCGTCCCCATGGTCACGGGATCCCGTTTTGGGCCCTCGGCAACGGGCTCACATTTACTACCTCAGTCATAAGACAAATGTCATGGTTCCGACAGATGAAACTCTTCAAAAGAACTTCGAGGCACTGTTTACCTTAAAGAATCTTTTATTCGAGAAACAAAGTATGGACACTACATAGTGGAAACCAAAAATTAAATTCCCCTCCCCTGGATACAAAGTAACAAAGCACAATTCCTTCCTCCAATAAACAGTCATAAATCACATTCCCCAATTAGCTTGAAGCGCAGGCTAGCTCCCCAGCCTGCCAAAACTCTATCAACTCTGGGCCCAATGACCTTGGGTTCCCATGGCTGAGTTATTATTGTTATGACTAGCTGGACTCTCGTCCACATTCCCCCTCCCAACATCAATTAATTCTAAAAGCAGTGGAGAAAAATGGCTGCATTTCCACTGGTTGTCAAAGCAAGAACATCCCATGTTAGCAGCGTTGACCCGTTTCCCGCTTTTGTGGCTGATTTCCAGCAAAGATATGCCCATTTGCTAACAATTAACGAACAATTAACAATTAGTGATCGTGATGCCTCGCTTTACGACCATTGTAACAGTGGTCCTAAAGTCAGATCAGGTCACGTGGTGACTCAATTTACGACCACGGTGACTTAAACCAAAATCCCAGGCTCAGGTTGTGGTAATTAAATGAGGACATTAAGTGTTTGCCATTTGGGTGAAGAGGGTCCCCACTTTTTCCTACCTGGGCACTTCCCGTCTCCCCTTTCCCCGGGCACGTCGTCCCCACTGGATCCTCTCTCTCTCAAATCCCTCTCCGCCATTTGTCTCCTCCCAGCCTGAATCGAACTGGCATCACAAAGCGAGACGGCCATCGCTCCGCCTCGGGGGAACGGTCCAATTCACAGGACCGCAGCGTGCCCTGGGGAGCCAGCCGGCAGCGGTCCTCATCCAGAGACGGGCGCAGCGGGAGCCAGGGACGCATCTCCAGGCAGTCTCCTTCTCCGACAGGTGGGGCGAAGAAAATGGTTGTCTTTGTGATTCCTCTTATAAATAAATGTTGCTTATTTCCGCTTGATATGGGGAGGGAATGGCCAGAAGTGCAATCCTGTAGCCAGTGTGAATTTCCTCTTGGTTTTGCTTCGGGCTTCCCAGATCTTCTGCTCTTACTCCAAGCTTGTTTCTTTAACGATAGGGACTAGAAGCTCTTTTTATGCTTTGCTGAAAAAGGGGATTTCTATAATTGCTGGCAAATGCTTTATTAAAGGTTGGGGGTTGAACCTCCCTGCTATTTTACTGTAAATTGCCCAACACTCTTTGTAGCTCAGGGTTGAAATGAGGGGTCCTCAATGCTCTCTGAGCTGGGTGGTTTTCTTGCAGACGTTTCACGACCCAACTAGGTTACGTCATGCGCCTAGAAGGGAGTGAGGTTTGCCGTCTGTTTAATCCATCTTTTGACACCTCTGTGCTAGGAAGTAGCCAATCCTACTTTCCAATAAGCACTTAAGTCTTGTAGGGACTTTTTTTTTTAGCTCAGGCTGTTAAAAATAAAATAAAATTAGGCTCTCTTGGGAAATTCAGTCCTATAGCCAAAATAAATTCCTTACAAGCCCATCACTGTCCCTTTTTTCCAACGGCAGGTATCCGGGCCCCTCGCTTCGATCCCACAGCATTCGTCAAGGCCAAGGAGCGGAAGCAAAAGGAGGTCGATCAGAAAAAGTGAGTGGACCCTCCTGCAGACCTGGCTGGGTTTGTCCGATCCAGGAAGCCGATTACGGTCCACGCCTGGCCTAAAGGACCCCTAAACCAGGAGGCCAAGGGCCACGTGGCTGATTTAAAAACAACTGCAAACCTCAAAGGAACAGCTGACACACAAACCAGCTGTTGGGGGGGGGCTAGCTTCGTAAGGGCAGCAGTGAACCGTGTTTTGGGTCAGTGGAGGTGTTTGGCACTGTTTCTTTTTTTTAAAAAAAAATGCCGATGGGTGCCTAGCCATATATTACTTTATTTATTAAATTTCTACACCTCCCAGCTCACCAGTGACTCTGGGAGGTTTTGAGAGAGCATCATAATATTGAAACGTGTCGATTAAAAACAAGGTTAAAATTGACACGCAAAAAAGTAAGAATCAACATTCAGATAATCAGGCCGGCCTGCTCTACGCCGTGTCCGATACTGGAACCGAAAGGGCGACGATTCCGTTTCCGGTCTTCCTTTCCAGCAAGCGGAATCTCCATCGGGCCATGGGAGACACCCCACCCAGCGGCTGGTACCACCACCCTCAGCTCAGGGGGTCCTCGGTCCTCCCTGGCGGGAGCAGCCTGGTGAAGCCGCGCGGCCGCAGCTCTTCAGGTACGCCAGGTGCTTTGGCTTTATTCTACGATGGCACAAGGTGCAAAGATGGGTGGGTGTCCAGATCAGGCCCTTGAACTCTGCGTACTCAAGAGGGGAACGGCAGAGAATCAGAATAGAAGCTGGAAGGGACCTTGGAGGTCTTCTAGTCCAGCCCCCTGCTCAAGCAGGAGACCCTACACCATTTGAGACAAATTGCCCCAAACACCACTCTCTTTTTGTATTTCCAGTGGAAAGCTTCCGCAGCAAACGCACTTCGGCCAGCTCCGGGAGTGAGATGGAAGATTATTCGGAACCTGTTGCACCAAGGTAAGGGACAGAGGGAAGATGGGGCTTCTTGTAATGGTGGGGGGGGGGAGGACACGGGGGTCTACTAAGCTGATTCTGGCAAACTGTTGAATAAAGTTCCAACCTCAGCTTTTCCCTCACCGGTTCTTGTGTACATAATAGCGACGTTTCTCGACCTTGGCAACTTTAAGCTGGGTGGACTTCAACCCCCAGAATTCCCCAGCCAGCCAAGAAGGAAGTTCTCTGGGAGTTGGAAGTCCGTACATGTTCACTGGGGAATTCTGGGAATTGAAGTCCCCACATCTTTCAAAGTTCACTAGCATGCTGGCTGGGGAATTCTGGGAGTTAAAAACCCACACCTTTTAAAATTCACTAGCATGCTTCCTGGGAATTCTGGGAGTTGAAGTCCCCACCGCTTAAAGTAGCCAAGTTTCAGACACACTGCTCTTTTAAGCCACGTAGAGTAAAAATCTCCTGCAATTAAGGTCTGACACATCTACAATTTCACCGCTGGTGTTACCCCCATCTAATGGATTGTGCCATTTTTCTTTTTAGAGGCAGGAAGCGACTAGGCAGGAACAGGAAAGCCTTCAGCTCTTCGTCTTGGAACGGCCCCACGGTGGTGAGTGATCCACCAAGGTTCCTCTTTCCAAAGTTGGCTTTGGGCTCAGGGAAAGCCCTCCCAGGGGGTCCTGCACAGACCGTGTGACCCCAGCGGTTCTTGTTCTCCATTCAGGGTCCCCGCGCGGACAACGCTCACAAGAAACGCTTGTCAAGCACCCCGAATACCGGCAGAGCTGGGGGTAAAGGTAAAACTGCTGGCGTCTCGGAGGAAATCTTGGAAAACTCAGGTGGGTGGGCATCCCTGGGCCAAGCTACTATTTTATTTTTATTTATTTATATCTCCCCTTCATTTTTACAAATAATTCAAGGCGACAGACTTATTTAACACATCTTCCTCCTTCTGTTTTCCCAACAACAATCCTCTGGGGTGAGTTGGGCTGAGAGAGAAGGACTGGCCCAAAGTCGCCCACCTGGCTTTTATGCCTAAGGTGGGACTAGAACTCACCGTCTCCTGGTGATGAGTCCAAAGTCACCCAGCTGGTTTTCACGCCTAAGGCAGAACTAGAACTCACAGCCTGGTGCTTTAACTACTGGAGCAAACTGGCTCTCTTTGATGTATTGCCAAACTGCTGCTCGAAACTCCCATCTTGGAATAACTAAGTGGGGTTCTTCTGGACCAATCCCACCTCCTTCCTCTTGTCCCGAACACACACAAAACACTGTTGAGTAGCTACTTTTCAGCCCATGATTCAAACCCAGAGCAGGTTACGCTTCTTTCAACTCTGGTTTCTTGAGCAACGTTGGGCACAGCTTGGGAACAACCTAGGCGCAGGAGCTGGCAGGTGTCCTCTGGATGGTTATTGCCATCCAGGTGAGGAACAACATGGGAAACCACGCTGAAGAAATTTGGCGTGTATTTCTTAGACTTTTGGAGCCCGACACCTTTGAGGAAAAAAACCCTTGTGCATTCTTGCCGGCTGGCCTCGTGAACGGTTTTGGGGTGATCCTCTCGGCTCACCCGATCCTGCCTCCTGTCCCGTCTGACAGAGAACCTGTACGAGGAGCCCTCAGCGGATCTCTCCGAGATTGACGCCCGGCTGCAGGCACTGCAGGAGTACATGAACAAGCTGGAGACCCAGACGTAGCGCCTGGGAGCGATGGAGCCGAGGCTGCGCGATTCCTCGCCAGCGAGATCTGGTCCAAATCTAGACGAGATCCTTTCCCTCCACTCTCGTGACCTGCTTGCGCCTCGTCCTTCCACGGTGACTTCCTCAAGCGGGAGGGCAGAGAGGAGGGGGGTGGGCGGGGGTGGCCGTCGTGCAAAATGTCTGCTTTGAAAGCCTTCCTAAGAACGATTTCATTAAAGATTTCTAAGAACCACTTTCCTAAGAAGGTTTTTCTCTGGCAAATCCTTTTTGGTGCCAGTGTTTCTACGGGGACTTCGACTCCCGGAATTCGCCAGCCAGCCATGCAACCCAATTGGCCCCTGCTACATCTTGCTATTCTTCTTTTTGCAAGTTCACATCTTATCTCTTCATCCTAGGGCAACGGCCATCAACCTTCGTGGCTTGGCGGCCCGGTTGGAGGAAAGGAAAGAGGAGAACTGGGCTGCGTGAGCGTTGGGCTGGCAGGCACGTGCATGTGTGTGCAGCTCAACTTGCGCAAGTGGTGCGTGCATGTGCGCGCTGGCCTGCCACTCGTGCGAGTTCAGCTGTGCACGTGCATGCCAGCCTGACAGTCATGCAGCCCGGTTGCAAATAGGCAGCGGCCCACTAGATGTGCCATCCCATAATTGCAGGAGATTTTTGCTCTACGTGGCTTAAAGAGCAGTGTTTCTGAAACCTGGCTACTTTAAGATGTGGGGGACTTCAACTCCCAGAATTCCCCAGCCAGCATGCTAGTGAATTTTAAAAGGTGTGGATTTTTTTAACTCCCAGAATTCACCACCCAGCATGCTAATGAACTTCAAAAGATGTGGACTTCAACTCCCAGAATTCCCCAGTGAACATGTACGGACTTCCAACTCCCAGAGATCTGTTTGCCGTTTCTTTCTCCTACAAAATCCTGCTTTATAGATTTATTAAAAAATCTGCTTTCTTGAAAGCCCAATCCGTATTGAATGACATTCAGTCCTCATTTTGCCAAATGTCAGAATTCCAGCAGTGTGAATTTAGTTTCGTTTCGTCCACCAAATCGTCCCTAGTACTTAGGAAATTTGGACAACCCACAAAAAAAAAAAACCAAAAGAGACAATTTTTATTGGAAGAGGTTTTTTTTTTTTTTACCAAAAAAACCCCAATGGGCTTAGATCAACCCAGGAAGCAGCTGGAAAAAAGGCAGGAATGTGTTAATAAAGTCCCACAGTGGAAAAACAAGTTATACCACAGCAGATCATGTGAAAAGAGGAATGTTGCTTGGAGTCTTTCCGTTTTGAAAGAAGGGAATGCGCACCACACAGAGATTTCCTGTGAGATTAAAAAAAAAAATCCTGATTTTTTTTTTTTAAAAAAAGCTCTGCTTTTCTCAGAACAAAGAAAGAAAAAAGGGTGGGAGGTAGGAGACCTAGCCCCCCCCCCCTTGCCTACTCCAGGGAATCAAGCAGTGGGCCTTTCCACCGACTACTTTTAAGCCATGCTTGGTTTCAAGAGCCTTCGTGGTAGACCAACTTCCAGAGTTCCAAGGAGAATCCGTGCATCTCCTGTCCCATCTTCCACAGCACGGCAGTCATGTCCCAAAAGCCAGTTCCGTTGTTTTGTTTTCATCCCAGCCACGTCCACGTCCGGCATCCGCCCTAGAGCCACAGGTATTCTGCCAGGAACGCAGCCAGGATCTTACTCAAGTTCTCAACGGTGGGCCGATCCAGGTTGGCCTCGGTGTCCTCCAGGGTGTGCCAGACCCTGGGGAAGGGGGTGGCAATGAGATGGAGGACTGGGACGCCTGCCACAAAGAGACACAAACACACACCTTAGCCCACAGCTGCCTTCTGTTCCACGCAAAAGCTTGATTTTTAAGGAAGTCCCTTCCTTATTTCTCCGTGTTGACCTAGTAGGGTAAAAGGTGCGTTTTTTGGGGTTTTTTGCCCTTTTAATCCACATCTTTTTTCCTTTGTACAGGTAGTCCTTGACTTATGACCACAACTGAGCCCCACATTTTTGTTGTTAAGTGAGACGTTTGTTAAGTGAGTTTTGCCCCATTTTACGATGTTGCCACAGTTGTTAAAAGTGAATCACTGCAGCTGATAAGTTAGTAGCCCGGTTGCTAAGTGAATCTGGCTTCCCCCACTGACTTTGCTTGTCAGAAGGACGCAAAAGGGGATCACATGATACACCCCCCGGACACTGCGACCGTCATAACTATGAGTCAGTTGTCAAGCGGCTGAATTGTGATCACGTGATCATGCTGCAAAGGCCGTTAACTGAAAAAGAGTCATAGGTCCCTTTTTTCAGCGCCCTTGTGACTTTGGTCACTAAATGAAACCGTTGTAAGTCGGGGACTAACCTGTAATGTTTTTGTCTAATTTTCTTTTACCTTTGCAATTTTTCCCCTCTTTGGATTTTGTTTTTGAACTGTTTGAATAAAATACAAATTCACGACCAAAGAAGGAGGACCTGGTTGGGACGAGGTTTGGGAACAGGGGTGTCAAAGGGGTGGGGTACGTACCTTTCCTGAGGAAGGGTGCATGGTCATCTTCGACAGAGCCGTAGGGGGAGTGTCCCTGGAAATACAGCTGTTCCTGGGAATGGGATTGGAGCAGCCCAAGACGGTGCATCCGTTTTTCTACAGAATGCAAGGCAGAGATTAGACTGGGGGGGGGGGGCGGGTATCCTAGCCCCCGTGTCTGCTTGTCTATAGGGGGTATTCTGTCCTCGACTTAACAATCACAACTGGAACCAAAATTTTCCATTCCTAAGTTCTTAACTGAGTCCTGCACACAATTTCGTGACTGTTTTTGCCACGAACCACCTGGTTGTTAAGCCAATCTGTCTTCCCCCCCCCCTCCCGACTTTGCTTGTGGGAAGCTGCTTGGGGATGGTCCCAAATGGGGATCACTTGACCCCAGGATCCTGCAGCTGTTGCAAATGCACACACCAGTTGCCAAGCACCCCAATTTTGATCACGTGGCTGTGTGTGGATGCTGCGACGGTTCTAAAGTGCCAGCACCGGTTTGTCAGTGTGGTTTTAATTTCGTGTTTTTTTTTCCAGTGTGGTTTAAATTTCAAACGGTCGCTAAACGAATGCGTCTTAAGTCGAGGAGGGCCTGCAACTGAGGTAGATAAATTGTTGAGTTCCTGCTGTTCTCCCTTGCAAATTTTATTCTCCCCTTCCACCGATGCTGCCTCCTAGCCTGGCAAACGTCTACCGATTCGGCTTCTGGATCTTACCGATGCTCATCAGCCTCTTGAACCAAGCAGAGGTTGCAAGGAAGTGGTTTTGAAAGGAGGGCCGAGGGGCGCCCAGCAGATCCAGCAGAACGAAGAGAGACTGCAAGAAAGACAGAAAAAATAAGGCGAGGTTGATCTTTAGCAGTGTTTTTCAACCTTGGCAACTTTAAGACGGGTGGACTACAACTCCCAGAATTCCCTAGTCAGCGTGCTTTAAGATGGGTGGATTTCCACTCCCAGAATTCCCCAGCTGGTATGCTTTAAGATGGGTGGTCTTCAACTCCCAGAATTCCCCAGCCAGCATGCTTTAAGAGGGGTGGATTTCCACTCCCAGAATTCCCCAGCCGGCATGCTTTAAGATGGGTGGTTTTCAACTCCCAGAATTCCCCAGCCGGCATGCTTTAAGAGGGGTGGATTTCAACTCCCAGAATTCCCCAGCCAGCATGCTTTAAGAGGGGGTGGAGTTCCACTCCCAGAATCCCCCAGCCTGCATGCTTTAAGAGGGGTGGATTTCAACTCCCAGAATTCCCCAGCCAGCATGCTTTAAGAGGGGGTGGAGTTCCACTCCCAGAATCCCCCAGCCTGCATGCTTTAAGAGGGGTGGATTTCAACTCCCAGAATTCCCCAGCTGGTATGCTTTAAGAGGGGTGGTCTTCAACTCCCAGAATTCCCCAGGCAGCGTGCCAACCAGACTAGAGGGAACTGGTCGAAGCCCCAAAGTTGTCACCTGCGTGATGATGTCATCCCGCACAGGTGACATCTAGAGTTCCCCTGCCTGATGACATCATCGTGGCTTATATCCGAATTTCCCGCTCCCAGAGAGAGACTCACTATCGCCTGGAGCTGAGTGATGCCCTGGTGATGGGGGGTCCGGCCCATGTGCTCAGCTAGGTGGCGGGCCCCATAGAGGGAATCTGTCTCACTCCATTCGCGGAAGGCCTCTTCCCCGTCAAAAAAGAGCAGCTGCAGGGTTATTTTCGAAGCCTGAAACCACAAAGAAGGTGGGTGAGCGTGTGTGTTGTGGCTTCAAAGTTGCAAAAGGGATAACGGGAAGGGAAGATCATAGTTCTCAACCGTGGCAACTTTAAGATCTGTGGACTTCAACTCCCAGAATCCCTCAGCCAGCCATGCTATTTCCCCCCATACTGGCTGAGGTCTTAAAGTTGCCGAGGCTGGGAATTCATCCAAATCCATCTCTTCTATTACTAGCATCGGTGGAAAGTATTTGCCTGCAGTTTTCTCTGGGAATGCAGTTTATTCCTTTTGCCGATTTTCTCTTGCACAATTCAAAACTTCCTTTTTTTACGTGCAAATTTAAAATAAACTTTAGCAGGTTAGGGAAACCACAGAGAACCCTGATCTCTTTGGAAAAATATTTCTGCCTTGAAAAGTGTCCCCCCCAAAGAGATGGGAAGGGTGACAACGGCACTCTGCCAGCTCTAACCATTAGTCTTCACTCCCTCCTCCCCTCCCTGTGGAAGAAGCGAACTGACCCCGGTGTTCCCAGCTTGCCCCTTGACCGTCTCACCTGCTCTTTGGCCTTCAGAAGCCGGCCGTCCAGCGCGGTCACCAGCTCCAGCAGGATGGCGCAGGGCACGGCCGAATCGGTGGCCCCCACGAAGGCCAGTCCGTGCTTGTCACGGGGGAAATATTTGGAGTCGTAGTGGCAGGCGAAGACCAGGCGCCAGGTGGCCGAGGGGTCAAGCGTGGCCACCACGTTGGCAAAGCTGACCGTGCCGTGTGGGGTCCGGTCCTCGAAAGGATCCAGTTCCACCTGCCAAGAAGCCTCCAGAGCTTTCAGCCGTTCCACGATGAACTCGAGAGAAATCAGAAAAACAAAGCATAAGGACCAGCTAAATCGCTTGCGCAGGTTTCTAGTCCTCTCTGGGTACAACAGTACAAGTCATCCTCGAATTACGACCACAGTTGAGCCCAACACTTATGCTGGTAAGCAAGACAGTTGCTAAGGGATCACGTGACACACACACCCCGGGGACGCTGCAACTGTCGTAAGTACGAGTCAGTTGCCAAGCCTCTGAATTTTGATCGCGTGACCCTGCTGTCGTAAGTGTGAAAAACGGTCATAAGTCGCCTTTTTTCAATACTGTTGTAACTTTGAGCGGTCACTAAACGAACAGTTGTAAGACAAAGTCCAGTTGTAAATACTGTAAAATACTAAAAATTATTGAGGAGGACGTTGCTATGTGTCTTTCAGGAGCCAGCAAAAGATGTATTTTAGTTGCCTGCGTAATGTGTGTACGCAACAACATTTCAAGGATGGAATCCAGCTGCGAAGTTTCACAGCCCGGGGGGGGGACGCAAACTCACCTGCCGGGTCCTGACGTTACCAGGGCTGCCTGAATACCTTTCCACCAGCATAGGCTGCAGGTAAGTCTTCCAAAGGCGTTGTAAATCGAGCTGGGAGGTCAGGTGTTTCAACTGGCTGCTGGACAAACTCCGGTGTTTATGGATCAGCTGTCAGAAGAAGACCACCCTGTCTTTATTTAAGGCTTGAGGGGAGGGGGGCTTTCAAAGCAGCTGTTTGGGGTTGTTTTTTAATTCCTCCAAAGCAGTCTTTTGCACCCTTGGCACCGTTCAGACGGGTGGACTTCAACTCCCAGAATTCCCCAGCCAGCATGCTAGTGAACTTTCCAAGATATCCAGCCCTTCCCACTTTCACTACCCCACTGGGGTAGCGACTTTTATCCCCCCCCCCACCCCCCCCAAGGGTCTTTGATCTGCCCAGTTTGACTTTCACCTCCATTGTTGGAAATGCCCCACATGCATTTTCTTTGGTACCGCGAAGGGCTAAATTTATTTTACAGCGTTTCTCAACCTTGACCATTTTAAGGCATGTGGACTTCAACTCCCAGAATTCCACAGCCAGCAACGCTGGCTGTGGAATTCTGGGAGTTGAAGTCCACAGGCCTTAAAATGGTCAAGGTTGAGAAACGCTGGGCTAAAAGTTTAAAAGTTTGCACCTGAAGGTCTTGTTGGACAAGCCATGGCAGAGCCTGGGGGGGGGGGTGGGCACCGTCGTCGGGTTGGGCTTTAAGGCATCGGTTGGCCTTACTCTGGCCCCGATGGGCTCCCCCAGCTCTTCTAACTAGGATCGGTCTTCTAGCTTCCTGGGCAGCTGAGAAACGGGACTCTGAATCTTCCCGGAGGAGGGGAGGGGGGGCTTGTCCTTGGCAAAGTGGGCAAGCGAAGCCCACCGACCGACCACAGCTCGGTTGCCCTCCTCAAGGCCATTCTCCCCCCCCCTCCCCGGGTCCCTCTCCTGGGGTCTGCCCAACCTGGCATCCTGGACCCTACTAGCTGAGATCAGATCCCGGCTTGCCATTCCGTTTTCTCCGCCCTTCCTCAACCTGGCACCGCAGACCCCGGCCTGCAGGCTGTGCCTTCTGGGTGATGCGGTCCCGAGGCCCTGCTGGATGCCAGGGGACGGGGAGGGGCCCGGAGTTGCCCCCAGCGCCAGGGGCCTTCAGCTGGGCCGGGACCCCCTCGCCGCCCGGCCTCGCCTACCTGGCTGCCCGGCTCCGCTGGCTGCCCGCTCCAGAGGAGGCAGAGCGCCAGAGCGCAGCCCGCCGCCAGCCCCAGCGGGAGCGCCCAGCGCCGGATCGGGCGCCGCTGGAGGGCCGCGGGGAGAGCCCCAGGGTCCGCCGCCGCCGCCGCCCCGCGCCCCTCCTC